TGGTCCCTCTCTGACTGCTGGGTACACAGGGTCTTGGATCTCTAAGGAGGTGCTAATTTAGCCTCTGCCTGAGGCTACCCAGCAGGAGCTATGGAGAGATCTGCAGGGTCCTCTTCCTTGTTTGGGTTTTGGAGGTGCCCAGATGAGGCCCAGCTGTGAAGCAGTGCAAGCTGCTGTGGGGCCTTGGGCCTTCTTTTGGATGTTCTGGGTCTCTGTGATCCAGCTGCAGTTTGTTAGGTAATTTTAGATCTCAAAGGGCCAACCCATTCATATGCAAAAGCCTCTGCACACAGCTTGGGTGGGGCGGGGTCTCAGGGAATCAACAGAGCGGAGCGACCAGCTATGGCTGATCCCCAGTCTTGCCCGAAGAGGTCCTGCATCTCAGTGTCCTGGTAATCGCTGCAAGCACCTCTGAGGGAAAGCCGCCCTCAAGTTCCGAGTTCTGCCTGCATCCAGACAGTCCAGTTTTTCCCCTATGAGTCCTGGGTCCCCAGAGACTTCCCAGAACTGGAGTTTAGAGCAATTGGGAGCTTGTGACTCCCTCCCGATTCAAAAAGACAGCCTCATCCTCAGGTGCCAGCCCCTTTCCGCGCATGCGCGAGCCTCCGTGCCTCTGCACTTTACTTCCGCACCTCCTCTGGGTCTCAGTGTGCTTTTCTCTTTCCTTCTAGTAAAGAATTCCACTCAGCCAGCCTTCCTGTAGTTCTGGATGATGTCTGTTTTGTCTTTTTGTTGTATTTTTGAAGTTGTTGTGGGAGGCAACAATTTCCAATGTTTACCTATGTTGCCATCTTGGTTTCAATTTTCGATTTTTTTAAGATTAGTGTATTAAATGTTTTCCAAATAAAATTACCTGACATTCTTTTTATAGATATAAATCAAATAGGCATTATTTTTAGAAAGGGTCTGCAGGTTAAACATGTTCTTTTAAGATGCTGTGCATATTGAACTTATGACAAGCCCCATTAAGAATCATTATTAATAAACATATCAAAAAGGGCTATGTCAGATTTTCTTCTTTGTAGTAAATATTTAATTTTCTGATTTCCCATTTACAAGTGTTGAAAATGCACAAGAAAGATTTTACTTCACAAGTACTTTTATGTTAATAGAAGATATTTTGATTCAACAAATATGGCAAAAATCTTCACACTGTAACCAATAGTATGTTTTTTCCTTAAAAAAAAAGAAAGGGATGTAACACTAACAACCACTACCTAAAAAATAAAGCACACTATTATTTTGGTGAATTTACAAATTTTTTTTCCCTGGTGTAAAGGCTACAAAAATTCCTAAAAATTAGAGAACACTGAAAACACATTAAAGTTTGACATCCAACTTTATATTATTTCCATTTTACTCTGAAAGATAACTTAAAAAATATGACCTGGCTGGAAGAGGCCATCTTGCTAATATAAAAAATCAATGAGACCAAGAAACTGTGTCATTGATATGTAGAATTTTTGCAAATAGTTATCTCTCCAAATCATTAGAAAATGTTCAAAGATAAAAAATAAAGTAAAATATGGTGGTGGTCCCTAAACTATTTTAAAGACAAGCAGCTTAGTCTAAGCTAAGCTATTTTTGTCACTCATAGTAATTATCCTCCCCTCAATTGCCCTTTAAAAATACATGAAACAGTACAATAGCGAGAATCAAAGAGCACAAACTGCATTTTTAAGAATAGGAAAAAAAATCTCTAGTGCTGAAAGATATAGTACAAAGATTTCTTTGGGGACATTAATCAATTGGATTATAATTCATTATGAAGATTTCTCTTTTCTATTATGAGGAGAGTCTGCTCCATTTGAAGTTACTGCTCCTGTTCTAGATCTGCCCTTTGTCACTGTTGACTTCTTCTTCACAGTTTATTTTTCTGATGCGTTTTTATTAGAATTGTGTACAGTGGTAATCATTCCTTCCATCATACATATTATATATAGTAACATTCAGGTATCTGAAACTAAAATAACTTACTGACAAATTCTAATATTACTCAGAATAATTCTAACTCTATTAACAAGAAAAGCAAAACCTCTGAGTTTCTCTTGGAAAATTTGAATTCAGGGAATTATTTTACAATTTGGAAATCTGAGTAATCCAACTTTAAGATGACTTTCTCATTGTTGAAGTTCGCTCTGTCCATGTGAGATTTGGGCCTTCCTTTTGTCTCAAGCCATTCCTGCATATGACGCACTTTGGAGATGGGACCTTGCAATTGTCCTTGCGCTGTGCCCTGGTCTGCGTTTGGGACCCAGCCTGCCAATCCCAGCCTGCGTGTACTTGCGGAAAAACACCCCCTGCACCTTCCCAAACACCTCATAATCCACCGATATCAGGGTGTCCCCTTCCGCCATGTTCATGCTCGAACCTCGCTTCCACACGCCCCGGATTCCTCGCCCACGAACATCTACGGTCAATGGAACTGAGGGCCCGCCCGGGCCGGGCTCACCCTCCCGGCCTTCCTGTCCGCAGGCCCACGGCACAGGTGACCACCGACCACCGACCCCGACCGCCACGCCAGCGGCTCCCCGCTTCGCAGGCTCCCTTCTGATGGGATTCTGTGCCTCGACCCACTACTCAGAGTGAAAAGAAAGAACCATCCTCCCCCAAAACTCTTTGTCAAGGGGCCTCAGAATTAGTTTCTATGGCATCCAGAAAATGTGTCCAGAATAAAGAAGTGTGTAAGTATCACAAAGGTAGGGGAGAGCCTCCCCAGGCAAGAGATGATCTCAAAATTACATGGGACCAGCAGAAGTACCTTGGTAGAGGGTAAGAATGAGGTTGATTAGCAGAGGCAAGAAGAAGCAGGTGGAGATAGACAGCACATACTCCGGATGTG